TGTACTAGATCACTTTTGAAGAAACTTCCAAATTTTTGAATCTATGAGAAGCCAGTCCAAATGCAAAAATACATCTGGAATGCAGTGGTTATAGAAAGGGGCTGGGTGTACATTTTGTATATAAACAGAATAGACATCTACTCTAGACAACCAATTATGTGCAACTTTGACCATAAGAAAATTGGATCAGGGCCTTCTTCATTTTTCTAAGAAAATAATAACCTGATATGATGACTTCCTTTATGTTCTTTCCTCCTATAAATTACCCAATTATTTATTGACATATGCAAGTTTTCAAGTGCAATTTTAGAACTAAGATTTTTAAAATGAATTTGGCTGTAAAAGCATGGTTACAGAATGTCTATCATTAATGCAATTGATTCCATATATTTATATCTTTAAATTTTCTTGCAATGAAATTAATATCTGCTCAGAACAAAAAAACACCTCACTTATTTAGTCCAAGACAACTTGATAACATCTCTTTCAACTATAGTTATAAATATCGTGCATAAACTTCCAAAGCTGAAGTTGTCAAGATTTAACATTAGCATTAATTTGTGTCATAACTGACTGTTATTCTCTGGATAATAGCAAAGTATTCAGTCCATGCTGTCTGAAGGAAAAATGAAAAGAAAGTTTGTCCTGTCACTAATCATTTAATTAAGTCAATCAATAACCCATTCTCTTTTTACTTTTTATAGCCGGAACCTAAGAAATATTGTGCCAGAAGGGAAGAAATCTGAACAAGTATTCAAAGAATCATGTCTACATATCACACTGAACCTGATTCTACAATGGATCTGCAGATGGACAGATGCCAGAGCCACGATAAACAAAGATTTCAATAGCAATGAAAACACGGTTGCCAACTAGATCCAAACTGGACAGCCAATTAATTAATACCATCTCTATACTCATCCAATTACTGAAAATAAGCCAACAAAAATTGTCATATCAAGTACATTACTGGACTGATTACTGGTCAGGCAATTAAGTAATATAGATACATGCACCCAATTACTGAAAATAAAACTAACAATGGAACATTTCTTGGACTTCTGATCACAGAAGGTCTAAAAATGTGATCTCTAAAGAAGAATGTGAAATTCTCGCCACTTTTCTTAGGCTTCATAAAGATCTTTGAACATGCTATCTATAGTGAACCCGTTTCCAACCTGTCAACAATGGAGCTCCTTTGCAGAAATAGGGTTTTCCTAAGCTACATAACAATGAACATGGGGCAGTGGACAGACCTCATTATTATTCCACATGACCTAAAAGGGCATTGAACGGCACAAACAATCCCAGCCTGCTTATTGGAAAAAATAGAGGACAGACTGCACTCTTGGTGCTTGGAGTACACTACTTACTGACAGCTTCAATACAGTACTTTGAAGTCCTCGTCTACTTACAGAGAGACCTTCTCATAAGACTCAGGCCAAAGGATGTGAATTTTCCTAATCTCACATGTAGCGTCACTTGTATGTGTTCCACTTTATTGGTATCACAGCATCTTGGGTGTTGTGCTTTTTGGAGAGTAACCATACAACTATTCTTTGTTGCTCCCCCTCAATGTTTGTCCCTATAGTACACTTCCCCCTGTCTGTTTGAAAGCCTGTTTTACGACCCCGTTTTTTAAGAGCCTCTCCCTCACAAATAATCTGTTCCACTCTTATCTTACCCTGAGTTTTTAGCATTTTATCTTGTACATGTGGCCCGCTCATTGTCACTGTGATTGTGAATGATTTTTCATTGTATTTTTACATTGTTTACTGTATTCTTATGTTTTATTAATCTTATTGTGTTGTTTGCTTTTTGCTTTGGTTTCTATTTTATTGTAATGCACTGTTGGGCTTGGCCTGACGTAAGCCGCCCCAATTCCTTGTTGGGGAGATGGAGGCGGGGTATAAATAAATATTATTATTATTATTATTATTATTATTATTACTATCATCATCATCATCATCATCATCATATTAGTAGGCAGCCAGAAAAGATAGTTCAGAACAGATAAAGGAAACTGAATCAAGTGCCCAATCTGTGCATAATTTCTTCTCTCTCAGACATGAAAGATACATAGTACGGTATGAAGCCCAGTGTTTCGTGTGCTACTAACCCTCAACCAGGTATCTATAAGGTATCTATAAGCACAGTAGAAAACTCCTTACCTGTGATGCTTCCTATGCCCCAAATTATGAATTATACTTGCAGAACTATCAGCATTGATCCCATGACTAAGGTTTTGAATTGCCACCATAAAAGTATTTCAAAACAAATTGGAAAATAGCAAAACTCCTATTAGTTCCCTGAAATCTGGGTGATAATCAGAATTAAGCAAGAATTGAATGAACGTTTTGAGCTCTTGTTTTTGTTCTAGATGTTTAAATACCAACAGTATATTTCCTAAAGCATGTGTGAAATCTAAAAATATTCTTCTGAGACTCTTCACGGATTTCTCTAAAGCTGGGTGCAGCTCAAATGTGCCATTGTTCTATAAAGGAAATCCAAGTTTAGAAACAACATAAGGATTATTATATTCTGAGCGATGGAGATGGTTTTCAACAAAAAAAAAACCCATACAATTTACAACAAAATACAAAACCCATACACGACTGGAATGGTACAAGGAATACGAGATTGGTCACGATTCTATTACGAGACGAAGCGGATTAGTTAGTGTAATTTTAACTGTTGTATTGTTGTATGGTTAATATGCTGTTGTATTTGTCTTTGTGTGAATTGCCTTTTGTACTGTACACCGCCGTGAGTCGCCCGAGTGGGCTGAGAATGGCGGTTAATAAATGCTCCAAATAAATAAAATAAATAAATACAATTTCTCTGCAAGGAGCATCCTACTTGAAATTCATCCTCCCTTAGCTAATACAGTAGTACAAGTGGAAGAAATACAGGTTTACACTGTGTCACGAGCAGTAACACAAAACATGACAATAAAGCAATACAAACATAAAACAACAGCCTTGTCTATAATTAGACTGCCTAACTACCTACTACAGTAACAATCATGTTTTCAGAACTGAAAATCATGATTCCGATTCTAATGAAACCTAGTTTTTAAACCATAGGATGCATACAACTATTTTAATTTTTTTTCTTATGTGTCAGAATTTTCATTTCCTCCCCAAAAGAGTAAATCACAGCATAAACTGCCATATCTCTGCCAACCCTGCATATTCAGTGATTCTTTGTACCCAGGAGCACTCAGCTAACTACATAGAATTTTCTGCCTCCCTTGATTTTCTCATTCACTTCAGAAGATGCAGAAAAAGAGAGAGTAAGATATGCACATTGAAAGATGCTATCTACACTGAAGTATAAGGGAAATCCCATTCTTATAGGACAGAGCTTTTGAAACTGTGTGTCATGACATGTTAACATGTTAGCTTCAGCGTGTAGGTGTATTGCATGATCATAATGAGAAACCTCTGAGTCTATGTGAAACAAGCAGTAAATCATACAGTATATTCTGACATTTTGCAATTATGATTTATGTATGTGTCCGCATATCTTATAAGGGGTTGGTTAAATCACATGTTTGCTAGCAAATCTGTATTCCTGTGTCGCGAAAAGATGCTTGTTTAAAAGCAGTGTCACCAACATAAAATGTCTGGAAAGCTGTGTTATAGAAGCTCTGTCAATACAAAAGATAAAAGATGGAACTACAGATGAACACAATTAGAAAGCAATGCTGACCAAAGATTTATGTGTACAAATTTTGAGATCAAGTACTTTCAAAGATGTCCAATAGAGTCTTGTTTATCCAACATAAACAGGCCAGCAGAATGCTGGATAAGTGAAAATGTTGGATAATAAGGAGGAATTAAGGAAAAGCCTATTTAATGTCAAATTACGTTATGATTTTACAAATTAAGCACCAAAACATCATGTTTTACAACAAATTGATAGAAAAAGCACTTCAATACATCGTAAGTTATATAGTAATTACTGTATTTACGAATTTAGCATCAAAACATTGCAATGTATTGAAACAGCTGTGGATCCGGGCAGGTGGAAGACTGCATTGGATAATACAGAATGTTGGATGAGCGAAGGTTGGATAAGCGAGACTCTTCTGTATTGGTAAAGAGATGAGATGCTTTACTTCCAATTTCAAGCATTATGTCTGAACCATGGTGTGGTTAATTCTAATTATGGTTAGTTGTTAAAGCCAGTTTGAAACTAGCTTGTTTCAACTGATCATAGTAAATATTGCTATTTGTTCAAGTTTCCATGTAATACATATTTTTAGTTTAAAATGGAAACAAACATCTCTCTGTTCCTCCTCCCAGAAACCAGAGTATGGAAAGTGAATGTCCAAGGCTATCTGCAACTTATTCATGACAACGATTATATTCAACATTTGAACTACACCAATATATTCACTTTTTTTGAAGGACTAGCTACCATAAAATAAAAAATCTAGGTGAAACGATCAATCACAATCCAGGATCTCACCAGCAACAAAACTGCAATTGAAAAAGTACTTGTAATGCTTTCAGGAAAGAACATAATATAAATAATAAATTCTGTCCTCTTTGATTTCTTTTAAAATTCATGGGCTCCTTCATGGAGAATACGTGCTCCCTACAGTTAAGTACAGAAACAAAAGAGACAAAACATAAGAAATTGGAAGTAAAACATAATATATCAGCAATGTAAAACCTGGCAGACATTGAATCATAAGGAGAATACTATTCTTCTTATGTATATCTTTTGTACTTCTTAGCATAAATCAGTTTTTACTACTATAATGGGGTCTTTAGCCTGAAGTCGGAAAGCAACAATAAAGTGCAGAATAAGCAATAAATTAAGACCCATTTCATCTAAGTTTATTTTCAGTGGGAAACAGGATACAATGCAAAAAATATAGGTGAATACAAGAGACTAGTGACTACAGGCAGATTTCAAGTCCTTGGCCTGAGTATATTTAACCCTTCCTTCTTTTGAACATTTAAAACTGGACTTGCCACATTACATACCTTAACAAGTTTGAGAAGCTGATAAAGGTCTTCAACTTCATCCCCTTCGCACTTGGTATATATTCTCCCAGTGTCCTTACTGGTGCCCTTAATAGTATATCGATAAAGAGGCAAACCCATTGCTTCAGCATACAGGTCTATAGCATGGTGACCTACAGTTTGATACATATAACTGTCCAGCTCATCTGTGTTCTCTGAAACATATAGAAAAGTACAATTACCTAATTCATATAAACCATTCCAATTGACTTAAACTTACAGTATCTCTTTTTATGCACACACATATGTATACAAATATCTGGATGACCTATCCCAGCATCTTAACAAGTACCAAATATTTTGCGAGTTGCTTCTCATATTATTCCAGTGACCTCAATAGACATTGGGACTTTTATAATTATAGTGGCACAATGGCCAGCATGTGATGTAAGAAAAATACCTGATGCTAAACCCAACTGCTAGTTTCTACATGAATTCTCCTGCTCAGATGCAAAGTAGTAAGTAAGCTCTCATATAAAGCCTATTAATATCGTGAGATTGGGTATATTCTAGTTGGGTTTAAAAGAGAGGTGATGGGCCCATCTACACTGACACTATAATGCAGCTTCAAGGAAAATTGCAACTAAAGTGGCCACAAACACACACACCACCAATCTGTGTTGTTGTGCAGATTAAAGGGTATACAGCATATTAAAGAAACGTCTGAGTGAAGCCCTCTTATGTGCAGCCGCAGAACCCAATATATTCCAAATCCCAGAGCAAAATCAGCTCCACATAATGTGAAGTACATTGCTGACACCCACCCCTGAAGCCAGGTTCCATGGTAAATATAATCACCTTTATGGCCTCAAATCAGTTCCATATTTGTCAATCTAATAATCCAGATAGTTAAACCAGTTTATCCCAAAATGGTTCCAAGTTGTATTTCAGTGTCAGTGTAGATGTGCCCTAAAGATGTATCTACGCTATAGAATTAATGCAGTCTGACACCACTCTAAATGACATGGCTCAATGGTATGGAATCATGGGAGTTGCAATATTACTAAGTCTTCAGTCTCCAGAAAGGGCTGGTGCCTAACAAAACTACAGATCCCAAGATTCCATAGAACTGAGCCAAGACAGTTAATGTAGTGTCAAACTGCATTAATTCTACTGTGTAGATGCACACTGAGTCTAAATATTTATTTTAAAAGATCTTATTCTTCAAATCAGCCAGGTTGTTGTTGTTGTTGTTCACGTAACCTCCTGGCCAAAATAAAAGTTATTTGCCCCTTTAGTGCTGATACCTTGTGTATTTCACAAGGTAACAATGCCAATTAACTCAATTTCAATTCCAAGTTACAACACATCAGAATGTAGAGAAGTCCAAAGATGACAATTACTTCTACAAGCTGTTGTATTTATTGATACAATGTAATATTTTATAATGTCAAAATTAGTTAAGAATTAGCTACAATGCGTCTTATTACTCCCAGAAAGAAATACATGAAGAGAAACACTATTACTTTTAACACATAACTTCTGAGCTCAGATTAAAAGTAGTCATGATCCACATCTTAAACAAACATCTGAAGAATTCCCAACAAAGAAACACATATTAGAAACACAGGTTGTATGTTTCAGAGACTGGAATGACATATGTTCTTGAATTCATATGAAGCTGTCTTACAGTTCAGAAAACCAATGCTTAATACCTAGTCTTTGTTAGATGTTCATCATGTTTGGATCTCAACGTTTTAAGTCAACATCTTTACAAAGAATGGACCAATTAAATAAGATGCTTATGAAATATCATTACTAAACATCTTTTTACAAAACAAATGCATACATTTACATTGAATTACTGATTCATGCTGAAGCTAGATCCTTGCACTAAAAGTACAACTTGGTGCACACTTGAGGAAACCTAAGTGAAAACATTGAGCAGCAACAACAAAAATGACAATATACAGAAAATTCCAATCTTGGGTAACAACTAGGCTTGTTTGATCAAAGAAAAAAATGGTTCAAAACCTGTTTCGGATGTAGGGGGCACTGACAATTCAGTTCGGAAATGATTTCTGAATCCCTCCCCCCCCCAAATTCGGAATTTTCCATAATTTTTGAAATTTCCGAATTGCTTCATCAATGGCGGGCGCGATTGCACAATACGCGAAAAGCTGCAAACGGAACAGGGAAAACTTCTGAGGATTCCCTCTCCCTCATTTTTAGACCACTACTGACAAAAGTTGCCACTGTGGTAGAAAACATCCTCCTCTGTCAGCATACTAAATTTCAACATGTTTAGACGATCCATGTGTTTTAGACAATTTTTAAAGTAATTTCAATAATCTAATAATCTGAATCTAGTAATCTGACTGCTTGTGCAAGGAACATATTAGGAGACAAGGGGATTTCTGATATCCCAAAGTATTAAGTCTAACCCAAAGGGAAAGGAAGGGTAGTCAAAGTTAAAATCACTGCTTCTAAAAGGGAAATTGGCAGTGGCAGGCAAGAGAACACTTGTCCCAGCTGCCCTTGTGTGCTACCCTGCACTTCTTCCTTCCCCACACACAAGAGGAAAGCCAAAAAAAGCCTCGCAGGCAACGGGCCTGCTAACAGCCGTTCTCCCCTGTTGTTCCCTTCCAAATTTTTTTGTTCTCTTCCCTAACTCTGTTGTTCCCTTCCCAAGCAGTGGCACCTTTCCCACCCAAGCTCCCTCCGTGTTCGCTTCTTGGGCTCGCAGTGAGCCCACGAGCCATGCGCAGCCCTTTTTAAAGTGCAATGGCTGCCGTGCCGAAACCCCACCCCTCCCCACATGGTTTCCCCTCATTGGCTGGAGGCAAGCATCCCAGCATGCAAGCTGCTGCTTGCCTCCAAACACTGAGTCATTTCTGATTCACTTCCTGAGTTGGAACAAAGTCGCAACAGTGGCTTCGCAAGGGCAAGGATACTTCGGGTTCAGAAATCGCTTCAAAAAGGAATTTGATCCAAATTTAATTCGATTTACGAGAGTTCCGACCAGACCTAACCATGCCTAGTAACAACTGATGGCTTGTTAGTAGAAGCAGGTTTACCCATCACAACAAACTGCATTCTAAAAATCTTGCCAAGGGTGTGTTGTAATGTGAAAATATGCTAAAAAACATAATTCCCAAGCAAAATAGTCAGGGTTTTGCCATACAAAAATTTTGAATTCTCACCTTTATTTTCAGGAGGTCTTAAATTGGCCAAGGCAACAATCTGATGCCCAGCAGCAACGCACTGCATCATATTGTAACAGCTGTCTTTTCCACCACTAGAAAAAATAGTGTATGTTCAATTAATTCCAAAACTAAACATACTTTCTTCTAAAAACAACCATGTAATCATACTGATATACAGATATAAAAATGTTTGTACATTTTATTTGTTTAAACGGCCACTTTAAAAATGCTTAAGAAACTGAAAAATAGCATGCTTGTCATTTAAATGTAACACTTATGTGCTCCTATCTATTGCCTAGGTACAAGCATCTCATGGGAAGATGGGGTTTCACACATGTAGGGGCTGCCCCATTATCTCTAATGTCACAAAAGTCTTTTTATGTCTGCATAATTATTTTCCACAGGGAATAAAATAGGAAATGATAGAGAGTTCACTGGAAGAAAGTGTATCATGGTGTTTTGGATCATGATGGATGTTTCCCAGGTAGAGGATGTTTGTTGCAGAGGGTGGCTTCCTAATACTAATAATTTTCCCCAAGATTATTATGCATTACATTCATACAGGTCACAGGTTTGCCTACAAACAGAAAGTTTGCGTTTAGCCATCATAATGTCTTTTGAGATCTGTAATTGCTACTGTAACAAACAATTCACAGAACAAGAAAGGTGGGTTGACTTTTTTTAAGTCTATTATATATTGAAGAGTAAAAATTTCTGAGGTTTTGCAATCCTAGGATATATATATATATATAGAACTAACGTTATGCCATTCTGCCTGAGTGCAATTATTAAAAACAAACCTTGAGCAAAGATAGTTTTCTGCAATCAAAGCAACAAGCCTGAAAAGCACTTAATGTTACACCCCCCATTTTCAGTGACTTCTCATGGGGTTAAACTCAAATGCAAAACAATGTTGTGTGGGTGCAAGACTGCCATCAGAGACAATTTTACTGGTAAGGACATTAGACAATGAAAGCTACTAAATACCAATGCACAAATGCTCGATTCTTTACAGATAATACTCCTAGCTTTAAAAAAGAAAATGTTCAATTTGCGATTCCTTCTCAGAGCATTAATATGACTGCGCTCTTTAAAGAGAAGTAAGCACATACAAAGTGCAAAAAGCAAAATAAGAGAACAAAAGAACTATACTTAAAACTATGTTAGTTCTCCTGAATTTGAAGGGACAGATCACAAGTTTAGACCTGATTGTTTGAAAGGATAATTACCAAGTTTGTTAACTTCTGTCAAGTTGACTCTGACTTATGACCATCCTATGAATGTGAGGCCTCCAGTTCTTCCTATGAACAGCCCTGCTCAGATCTTGCAGACTCAAGGCCATGGCTTCCTTGATTCAAGTCTATCCATCTATAATGAGGTCTTCCTCTTTTCCTGCTACCTATCAAGCATTATAGTATGACCCCCATATCTGCAAGTGATATATTCCCAGACTTATTAGGGCAGGTATGGGCAAACTTCAGCCCTCCAGGTATTTGTACTTCAACTTCCAGAAAAACCAGCCAGTTTACCGTCTGTTAGGAATTGTGGAAGTTGAAGTCCAAAACACTCAAGGGGCCAAAGTTTGCCTATGCTTGTATTAGGGAAATATGAAACCACAGATAATAACAAACCCTATTGAATTAATTACCTCCCACAGAAAGATTGAACTGTAGGACTGAAAAAATGCCTAGAGAAATGTTGCTTCAGGTGAAGTTAAGTGTGCCAATTCTATGAATATAGGTTCAAAAGGCTTTCATAGTGCGGCATGTCTTCTCATGGTATGTCCAAAGAACATTTGCAAAAGTCAAGGCCCTGGGCCAAATCCATGTAATTTCATGTGGACCTCCAGATGCTGGACTACAACACCTGTATTCATCATCATTAGATATAGTGACTAGAGCTGAGGGGAGTCGTGATACAGTAACAGCAGGAAGGCTGCGGTTGATCTGTTTAGTAAGGAGAGGGGTTTGAATTTAGACACAAGGATAGTGAACATGATGTCTGAGTTTAAAATGTCCTTTAACCTTTCCCCAACCTCAGAGCCACAAGTGCTGCTGGGTTGTAATCCCCATTATCTTCAGTTCACATGGTGGATAATCAAAAGTGATGGGGGTTATCATTCAAGAATAACTGGGGTTCCAAATTAGGTAAAAACTAAAAAGGCCTGAATGATATGTAAAAAATTAAAGTTGGCCTTCTGTATCCACGGAGTCTTCATCCATAGATTCAATGGTCCTTTGAAAGCAACCATAAGGCTGGCCTTTGATGAAAACATCTTTGACACCCTGGTCCAAAGCCTAACAATCTCAATTTAATCATGTTGGCTTCTAGGAAGGGGTCAGACTTGACATGCTCTAGATAGGATAGGAAACTTCAGACAACTGCATAATCCAGAAATATGCACATTTATGGAGGAATAAACCCTTATATACGGTCTGCTTCACAATTTTGGCAACTAAAATGGAAAACAAAAGAAAAGTTGAGGATGGTAAAAGAAAAAGTAATCCTAGGTACATTTTGAAAGAAAGTTGCAAGTGATCCCCAGAAGGCTCAACATGTTTATGTTTACTTATGCAAAGTTTACTTAACCTAGTACTTTGTTTCCCATATACACATTGGAGTGCTGTGAGTTTTCCAAGCTGTATGTCTACGTTCCAGAAGCATTCTCTCCTGATGTTTCACCCACATCTATGGCAGGCATCCTCAGAGGTTGTGAGGTCTGCTGGAAACTAGGCAAGTGAGGTTTATATATCTGTGGAATATTCAGAGTGGGAGAAATAACTCTTCTCTGCTTGACGCAAGTGTGAATGTTGCAATTGACCACATTGATTAGCGTTTGCATCAATTGCAACATTCACACTTGCCTCCAGCAGACAAGAGTTTTCTCCCACTCTGAATATTCCACAGATATATAAATCTCACTTGCCTGGTTTCCAACAGACCTCACAGCCTCTGAGGATGCCTGCCACAGATGTGGGTGAAACATCAGGAGAGCATATTTCTGGAACATGGACATACAGCCCGGAAAACTCACAGCAACCCATTGATTCCGGCCATGAAAGCCTTCAACAACAAATATACACATTGCTAATCTTGTATTAAAACCTTTGCTGAAGCATATCGAGTTGCTCTTCTGTTTTGTGGCGTAGGAAATGCCTCTATTTCAAAACTATTGGTATTCTTCCCTTGTTATTTCTGCCTCTGGTGCTTCTTAATATAGGCCCCTTCTACACTGCCATATAATCTAGATCAGGCATGGGCAAACTTCAGCCTTCCAGGTGTTTTGGACTTCAACTACCACAATTGCTAACAGCCTACCAGCTGTTAGGAATTGTGGGAGTTGCAATCCAAAACACCTGGAGGGGCAAAGATTGCCCATGCCTGATCTAATTATCAAAGCAGATAATCCACATTATCTGTTTCGAACTGGATTATATGAGTCTATACTGCAATATAACCCAGTTCAAAGCAGATCATCTGGATTTTATACAGCAGTGTAGAAAAGGCCTGGGGTATATCTCTATTCTGCCTTTACCTCCTTTGATGGACTTCTTTCATGGAAGAAGAAAGAAAGAAGCAGTGGTTTGGGAAACACAAAGCTTTTAAATGAAAGATGACAATGTCCAAACCTTTATTGAAAACTGACAGCTCAAGAGTTTGAAAAAATTGTTCTGGTTTCTTGCACAAGCACCTCACCTTTTCATATCATGGCCATTGTGGTATTCTAGCCCAGCACAGCCCCAACAACACTTTTGTATTTTTTGTTTAAAGTAGTGTTTCTCAACCTAGGGGTTGGGACCCGTGGGGGGGGGTCACGAGGGGGTTTCAGAGGGGTCGCTAAAGACCATTAGATAACATATATTTCTGATAGTCTTAGGAAACCCTTTGCCAGAGAAGGCTGAAGATCTCTCCGCCTGTCGTTCTCTTCCTTTTTGGAAACAGATGGCGAATCCTCTCTCCAAAAGCCCTCCTCTGCTGTGATTGGCCGACTTCTCAGCTGGCCTCTCAGCCAAGGGGAGGGCTGTTTCTGAGACTCCAAGCGGGAGGGGAGAGCAGGCGTGCTTGGTGCATGGCAGCATGCTGTGCATGTATAGATGAGGGAGAGCGCGCAAGGCTGGAGGAAGGCTCGTGCCAAACAGCCCCTTTGAGGCATAGGGCAGTGGTTCTCAACCTTCCTAAAGCCGCGACCCCTTAATACAGTTCCTCATGTTGTGGTGACTCCCAACCACAAAATTATTTTCATTGCTACTTCATAACTGTACTTTTGCTACTGTTATGAATCATAATGTGAATGTCTGATGTACAGGATGTATTTTTATTCACTAGATCAAATTTTGCACAAATACCAGATACACCCAAATTTCAATACAGGTGCAGTTGGGGAGGGGGGAGATTGATTTTGTCATTTGGGAGTTGTAGTTGCTGGGATTTATAATTAACCTACAATCAAAGAGCATTCTGAATTCCACCAATTATGGAACTGAACCAAACTTGGCACACAGAACTCCAATGACCAACAGAAAATACTGGAAGCATTTGGTGAGCATTGACCTCGAGTTTTGGAACCTGGATCAAACTTGGCACAAAAACTCAGTTTGCCTAAATGTGAACACTGGTGGAGTTTGGGGAAAATAGACCTTGACATTTGGAAGTTGTAGTTTCTGGTATTAATGGTTTACCTACAATCAAAGAGCATTCTGAACCCCACCAACAAGAGAATTGGGTCAAACTTCCCACACAAAACTCCAATTACCAGCAGAAAATACTGTGTTTTCTGTTGATCATAAGAGTTCTGTGTGCCAAATTTGGTTCAGTTCTATCATTGGTGGAGTTCAGAATGCTCTTTGATTGTAGGTGAACTATAAATCCCAGCAACTGCAACTCCCAAATAACAAAATCAATTCCTTCCCAACCCCACCAGTATTCAAATTTGGGCATTATGGGTATACGTGACAAATTTGGTCCAATGAATGAAAATACATCCTACAGATCAGATATTTACATTACGATTCAAAACAGTAGCAAAATTACAGTTATGAAGTAGCAATGCTTCCTCTTCATCCTGGAAAGAAGTGATGAGCGGAGTGCCATAAGCAGTGTTCCGTCCTGGGCCCGGTCCTGTTCAACATCTTTATTAATGACTGATATGAAGGGTTAGAAGGCATGATCATCAAGTCTGCAGACAACACCAAATTGGGAGGGATAGCCAGTACTCCAATGGACAGGAGCAAAATTCAAAACCATCTTAACAGATTAGAGAGATGGGCCAAAATTACCAAATGAAGTTCAACAGTGACAAATGCAAGATACTCCACTTAGGCAGAAAAAAAAATGAAATGCAAAAATACAGAATGGGGAACAGTGCCTGGCTTGACAGCAGTACATGTGAAAAAGATCTTGGAGTCCTCATGGACAACAAGTTAAACATGAGCCAACAACATGATATGGCGGCAAAAAAAGCCAAAGGGATTTTGGGCTGCAATAATAGTATAGAATCATAGAATCAAAGAGTTGGAAGAGATCTTATGGGCCATCCAGTCCAACCCCCTGCCAAAAAACAGGAATATTGCATTCAAATCAGATGGCCATGCAGGCTCTGTTTAAAAGCTTCCAAAGAAGGAGCCTCCACCACACTCCGGGGCAGAGAGTTCCACTGCTGAACGGCTCTCACAGTCAGGAAGTTCTTCCTCATGTTCAGATGGAATCTCCTTTCTTGTAGTTTGAAGCCATTGTTCCTTGTCCTAATCTCCATGGAAGCAGAAAACAAGCTTGCCCCCTCCTCCCTGTGGCTTTCTCTCACATATTTATACATGGCTATCATATCTCCTCTCATCCTTCTCTTCTTCAGGCTAAACATGCCCAGCTCTTTAAGCCGCTCCTCCTAGGGCTTGTTCTCCATATAGTATAGTGTCTAGATCCAGAGAAATCATGCTACCCCTCTATTCCACCTTGGTTAGACCACACCTGGAATACTGTGTCCAATTCTGGGCACAACAATTGAACGGAGATGTTGACAAGCTGGAATGTGTCCAGGGGAGGGCGACTAAAATGATCAAGGGTCTGGAGAACAAGCCCCATGAGGAGCGGCCTAAAGAGCTGGGCATGTTTAGCCTTAAGATGAGAAGGCTGAGAAGAGACATGATATCCATGTATAAATACGTGAGAGAAAGTCATAGGGAGCAGGGAGCAGGCTTGTTTTCTGCTGCACTGGAGACTAGGACATGGAGCAATGGCTTCAAACTACAAGAAAGGAGATTCCAGCTAAACATGAGGAAGAACGTCCTGACGGTGAGAGCCGTTCAGCAGTGGAACTCTCTGCCCCGGAGTATGGTGGAGGCTCCTTCTTTGGAAGGTTTTTAACTGGATTGCTGGATGGCCATCTGTCGGGGGTGCTTTGAATGCGCTTTTCCTGCTTCTTGGCAGGGGGTTGGACTGGATGGCCCATGAGGTCTCTTCCAATTCTATGATTCTAATGTTATAATTGGGGGTCACCACAACATGAGGAGCTGAATTAAGGGGTTTGGCATTAGGAAGGTTGAGAAACACTGGCTTAAAGCCTGGAAAACAAGCAAGTTGTCCAAGGAGGGTCCTGTTACCTGATCAAAGCCACTACTTTCATGCTGGAGCTGTTTCCTCCCAACCCACGTTGCTTCCCGGCTTGTGGCTGATGGAGGCGGGCCTTCCTCCCTGGGCCTGTCTATAAAGCTGCCTTAGTAAAAACACAAAACAAAACACTTGGCTACGTTCGGTTCCGGTTCCGCTGTTTATTTCGTCGGTCCTTTCAATGCTTACTGAACAAAACAGGCAAAGCCCCGCGGCTGCATGAAAATAACCGTGCTAAACCTCAGGCAGAAAATTGGACACCTAAGAAAGGGCAACGAGGCCGCCCGGACTGAGGGCAAAGTGGAAGCGCATGTGGGTGCTGCTTGCCTGGCAGCTGCGCAAAGACTGCTTTGAAGGCAATCTGTAGCAAGAGAGAGACTGCTGGGCTTTGCTTGTGTTTTGCTCCCCTTTATTTGTATATACTTTGCTTACATCTCTTTTGATCTGCTTGCTTTTCAATATATATTGTATTTGATCTGGAGTCTATTGTTTAACAATTGTATGGCATGGCTTTATATTTATATACAGTGGGTGCATCTACACTGTCGAATTAATACAGTTTAGGACCACTTAAATTGTCTTGGGTCAATGCTATGGAATTAAGGGAGTTGTAGTTTTACAAGTTCCTTAGCCTCCTCTGCCAAAGAGTCCTGGTGTCTCACCAAACTAGAAATCCCAGGATCCTATGAGCACTGGCAGTTAATGTGGTCTCAAACTGCATTAATTCTACGTCACCTGCCACGTGTTGCTGTGGCCCAGTATATGTGTTTTGTGTGTGTATATGAGTTTTGTGTATTATTTGTGTATATGTATATATATGTGTGTGTGTGTGTTTTTGTTTATATATGTGGTTTTGCACATGCGTTGTAATGTATTTTTTAAAAAAAAATTGGGCTTTTTAAGTCTCTTTCCCTGTATTTTTCATAGAATCATAGAGTTGGAAGAGACCTCATGGGCCATCCAGTCCAACCCCCTGCCAAGAAGCAGGCATATTGCATTCAAAGCACCCCTGACAGATGGCCATCCAGCCTCTGTTTAAAAGCTTCCAAAGAAGGAGCCTCCACCAAACTCCAGAGCAGAGAGTTCCACTGCTGAATGGCTCTCACCGTCAGGAAGTTCTTCCTAATGTTTAGCTGGAATCTCCTTTCTTGTAGTTTGAAGCCATTGTTCCATGTCCTGGTCTCCAGGACAGCAGAAAACAAGCCTACTCCCTCCTCCCTATGACTTTCTCTCACGTATTTATACATGGCTATTTTTATGAGTGATGGCCTGATATGTGCATTGTGTCCAAATTTGGTGTCAATTTGTCTAATGGGTTCTGAGTTATGTTAATCCCACAAATGAACATTACATTTTTATTTATATAGATGATATTTATCTGAATACATTATTTTACTATTGTATATTTTTATATTTTAGTATTCCTTCCCTGTCCATAGATTCTGGACCTCTGGATTCAATATGTGCTTTAAAAAAATCCCCAAAGCAAGCTTTTATTTTGCCATGTTCTATAAGGGGCACTATTGTGCATAGAAAAGGACTTGAGCCTCCATATCTCAAAGATGGCAAACCTTCCAGAACTCCAAGATCTTAAGGGGATTTTGCCATATTCTGGGTCAGCATTTCACTATGCCACAGTATATAATAGGACTTGAGCATCCACAGATTTTGATATCCATAGGAGGTTCTGGAATCAAACCCCAGTAGATGCCAAGGGACCCCTGTACATGTATATCTCTATTTACTCAGATCTAATTCTCACTTTTTTTGCTAAATTACTTTCCCAAAATTAGGGTACATATTCGATTTGCATAATATGGTAACCTTAGTGCTGAGCCAGAGCAAAAGGAGAAACTTTTGGAAAAGGCATGATCTTTTAGAGATCATAACCTTCTGAAAAACCAGGAATCTCCATCGCCTTTTGGAAGTGTGACCCCTTTGGCCAGGGGTCCTCAAACTATGGCCCGGGGGCCGGATGCGGCCCTCCAAGGTCATTTACCCGGCCCTCGCTCAGGGTCAACCTAAGTCTGTAACGACTTGAAAGCACACAACAACAACAACAATCCTATCTCATCAGCCAAAAGGAGGCCCACACTTCCCATTGAAATACTAATAAATTTATATTTGTTAAAATTGTTCTTCATTTTAATTATTGTATTGTTTTAAGTGTTTTTTTCTCTACAAATAAGATATGTGCAGTGTGCATAGGAATTCATTCATTATTTTTTTCAAATTATAATCTGGCCCTCCAATAGTTTGAGGGACCATGACCTGGCCCTCTCTTTAAAAGGTTTGAGGACCCATGCTTTTGGCATTCACACCATTTGAAAAAATCATAAGTATGATCTTCCTGAGAAGTGTTAAATACTCATTTGAGTTAATCTTCTCCTTGGCGGTAAATATCCACTAGTATTGATGCAAGGCAAATTAGGCTTCTCAGTTGTTAGACCAATATACCTGGTTGTCTCTCTGAAATGTTAGGAACAAAGATATGCCAATGCACAAAATGTATAGCAGATCTTCAGAAGTGTTATTTCAGTTGCTCAAAAAAAATCTATTCTCCCATAAAATATATTACTTTTAAATCACAATATAGACCCCTTGTCTATATCGTAGTCAAAAGGCAGTCCAGAGATTCAAGGTTCCAGGTTCCAAGAGTACAGGAGACAGGTCAGGATACCAAAAATCCACAAACATGGGGGGAAACAAGCAGCATCTACCACCAAAATAAGACAAATACTTTTCTTCTGAAAATCAGTCCCAAGGCTAGCTCATTATATCAAAAAACACCCAGCTCATTATATCAAGAGGCCAAAAATAAATAGTCTTTGTTAAAAGTAACATAGTTACTTTACTTACAAACGTCATGTATTTAGCATATAGGTACATTGCTTATTGGCTGATAGCTTAAACAGTTTAGTCTCCTATTTGTTACATACAGACTAACACTCTTTTCAGTCTAATACATTCCTGAAGGTTGACTCAATAAAGACTGACTGTACACTAAAACTGACAATTCCAATGCAGAAGACACAGTAACATTGCACCCAGGCAAGAGAAAAACAAAACAGAAAAACTTTATTCTTATCCGCAGAGTTAAAACATAAACTTGCAGTGTTACAAACAGTGCAACAAACTTACATAGTCTTTGTAAGCAATACAGAATAAGGCTTCTTCATCCAAATGAGAGAACCGTAGAAATGGTTGAGCAAAATGCCTGAGCAAAGGCTCTTCAGAGCAAAAGTTGAGCTATATTCTAAAAACCATACAGTTATACCCCACCGGGTGTGGTCCAACGTACTAGTTGACCTACATTATCAACGGCACATAATAATCAACAGTATAAAGTTTTCTTTAACACACACACATACTTGATCCTGTTACGAATTCTATAAAATTATTATTAATTTTCTGCTATAATATTACAAAAATTGTATAGTCAGTTATTTTGGTGTCATCCCTCTGATGGTGTCATCCAGTGTGGTACACACACCCTCCCAGCAACAATACTGCACTTCTCTAAAGCACAACAACACTGCATGTATTTAAACAGCATTATCTAAGGCAACTGTCCTTACTACCAGGCAAGTGTTCAGAGAATTGTATAGCCCAACAGGAAAATAATTCTTTACGGAAAAGTAAGTAGAACTGGGTTCAATGGTATTTACTTCCAGATAAAAATTGTAAAAGATGGCAGCATTGTTTAGCTGTACCTAATTGCCATTCAGTTGAATACAGCATGCTTCACTTATTTCTGAGTGAGATCACAAAAATCACACCTAAACTCAGCTAAATCAAACCCACATAGAACTGATGGTATAGAGAAAGTGTTTGCATTTTAAAAAAAATATAATGTTCAGGATTGTGAGAATAGTATATGAATATATATGTATTTGTTGTTGAAGGCTTTCATGGCCAGAATAACTGGGTTGCTATGAATGTTGCAATTGGTGAACTTTATTAGCATTGAATGGCCATGAATTCCAGACACAAAACAATCATGGCCAGCTAACACCATCTAACAAAGGACCCCCCAGTCAGGAAGGAGCCAGGCTTTGAAGCTGCAAGCCCATTCAATGCTAATCAAGCCTGCCAATTGTAACATTCATACTTACCTCAAACAGACAAGAGTTCTTTCTCCCACCCTGGGCATTCCACAGATTTATAAATGCCACTTGCCTGGTTTCCAACAGAGCCCTCAACCTCTGAGGATGCCTGCCATAGATGTGGGTGAAATATCAGGAGATAATGTTTGGAAAACTCACAGCAACCCATTATAGATAGATAGATAGATAGATAGATAGATAGATAGATAGATAGATAGATAGATAGATGATAGATAGATAGATAGATAGAGATATATAATAAAATAAAATAAAATGCATATTTTCCCTATGTTAACAGTCCTATGTGGGTTTGACTTAGTTGAGTTTCAGTGATATTTCTGAGAGTCTTTGGAATTATTCTCATAATTCTGAAGTCTCTAAAACAAAGTGGATGATCCAAATCAGATTATGTGCTGTGAAAATTGGTAATTACCTAGATGGAAGGACTGTTACTTCTTGCTGTTGCTGCTGTGAAAAAAATAAGCAATACAAGCCTCTTTTTAATTAAAGCACTAAGTCCAGGGGATATGTGGAACTTCCAGATATAAAATGCTTAGTAAAGTCTGCTGATGGGAAATAATCACCCACTCAGAAACACCATAAAAAGGTGACACTTGTTTTAAAAACATTTTAAAATGCAAACAGAGTTGTTATTTGAACTTCAGTCATCCACACAATTGTTCAGAAACAGATATTTGAGTTACTGAAGTAATACAACAGATGAATTTTTATTTATGGTAATCTGTGAGCAGGGATCAATATGTAAAACATGTTGTACTGACATGATTGGAAAAACAGAGGGAAACCCTTCAAATAATTTTGTAAATAAATCAGTGGTGATATTTAGAAAAACTTAGGAGTCCATAAAATTAGTTACTTTGGAAGGTGTTCATTATACATGTTACTAATATGTGCAATGCATTCTTCTTTAGCAACATTATTTTCAACAAAATTGCAAATACGTTGGTTTTGTTGCTTGGAAATATGCTAATAATGTT